TTGAAAGATTTTCCCTTAGACACGTTTAAAATATCTATTTAAAGTATGTGTAAGTGAAAAATAGTCAAACATATTGAATATTCCATCATTTTAAGCCTTTAGAATTTCGTCCGCCATGATGGTGTACCAACTTGGAACACCAAGATGGCCGCTCCATACATTTTAACCAAAAATTGCGTCATGTTTACTCGCCTATAGTTCCGCAACGAAATGCTTTACAGCCTTAAAATTTAACCAGCATATGTAGTTTGGAACGCTTTACAAGAATATAAGACTTTTATTTCATTATAATGCGAATTTACGCTTTTGAAATTCATGATGACGTAGGTGAAAACCAAGAATACAATCTTCTACGCAATAGCTTGAAAAATATTTACTCTCTGTACAAATAAATGGAGCTTTTGTTTTGTGATTGTGCTTGCATGATCAACCATTTTGAAAAGTAATTCTAAGTTGTTTTCCTCAGTTATTCTCGTTAGCTTTATGATACTTGAACGCATCGAGAATTTTGTCTTACCAAGATCTAGCAAGCTTCTTTTTTCTAAATTTTCTCGTAATATTTTAAATAATTTTTAGTTCGAGTTTTATTGTTTTGAACTGAAAACCATGACTAAATTAGTTCAAACTCGACTCATTTATGTTCGTACGATTTCGTTAATATTTTTTGTCTAAATTCAAACCATTTTGAACACCTTTCTTGAATATCATTAGTAATTTCATCAATGGTTTTACCATCGTTTATTGGTTCAGTGTAATCGTCTAAGTCGATATTCAAATCTGTTGGCTCTGTGCTGAGTGTTCTTGGTGAACCTAAGCTGTAAGTTCTTTTGATGCTCGGAAACTTTTCGTGGAAATTTGAATTTGGCTGCCAACTCTTAGAAAAAAATTCCCTCTTTGTCTGGTTAAAGCGTTTCCGGACAAAAAAGGGATTCGAAGGATTTGGCACGACTTGCACATGTTGATGTCTTTTGATTGCTTTTCGCCAAGGATCTTTAGAGCTTCTTTCTTGCTCTCTCGGTGATGGAGTAAAAAATAATGAGTCTCGTTTAGTTTTCTGTCGTTCACTACCATCGTCTTCGTCGTCTGACGAAATATTTTCTAGCTTTATTTCGTCGTTATTTTTTTCCATTTCTTCGGCTTTAGCACACAGACTGCTTGTGTCATTGCTTGCTCTTGAATTAATTAATGACTCTACAGCTGTCGTATTGATATTTTCAAGTTCATTTGCGTTTTTTTCGGCATTTTTCCGGATTCCGCCATTACGAAAACTTCGAATAAACCTCTGAGGCTGAATAACTCTCATTTGAGCTCTTTGTCGAAAACTTTTGAGTTTTTTATTTTTTTCGGCTTGTACTAGTTCATCTTGCCTTTTTCTCTCTTCCTCGGGCAACAAATCTAAGTTTCCGAGCAAAACTAACGTCTTCCTCATTTCGGAAGACATCGGAAAGATATCTGGAGTTCCTCTCCTTTGAACGCTCGGTGGACGGCTTGGAGAGGAAGCGTTTGTTTCCAATGTGGTACTATTCAGGGTTTTCTGATTACCTTCACTGCTTTTCGAATAGGACTCCACACCAACGTGATGTTTTGAGATTGAATTCGCGATCCATATTTGTCTCGCTGTTTTACGAAACGTAGTCTTGGTTCGTCCACTTTCTCTACTTCTTGTTCTTAAATAAGGCGCATTTCTGCTGTTCGGCTGGACAGAGAAATATTTTTCCTTGTCCATTGCTTCGTTTCACATCACGTTTCCCAAATCTCTACTGGGGAATAGATTCCTTTTGAAGTGTCTTGTAACTTGGACTACAAAGATTACTGGCGCTAAGCGTATTAGGCTGTCAGATATCGCCGACGATAAGACGCAAAGACTGAACCATTATTAGGCCGGAGGGAAAAGCATTTTAAGTCAAAAGCCTAATCTTTTTAAACTCTAACGGATCTTCTGTTCACGGCTCTTGTATACAATTATATATTCCCACTATTCGGTGTTTGTATAAATATAAACCCGGAGGCTGTTTCAATAAATACGTCAAAACTTTAGAGACAACATTGACATGAGCAGCACACAACTGGACGTACAATTCTCCCACATTAGCAGCTCCATGAAGACATTTTAAAGCCTAATACTATCAAAATGTCACTCTTATGGATGCTAAGTTAGATATTGTTGCCTTTAGATAAAATTTTGAGTCGAAAAAGTAATATTCTGAGAGATTGTTCAACGCAGGTGATATAAGCTCAACAGGACATGACAAAGCCTAAGAGCATCATAAGACTTATGCACACAGTTTGAATTGGCCCGTTTGGGAGTAAACAAATTATAAGCCATGTCAATAATTCCTTTAATGAAAAGTTTTATAGAATAAAGGATATACTTAGTGAAGTAATAAAAACAATAGAAGATAGGTTAGGGAAATTTAGAAATTCAGTTTGCGAAAAGAAAGTTGATCGTTTTTCGAAAAAAAATTTTTTTTCTAAAAATCACTGCTTATAAGAAACCATTTAGGCAGTAGAGTCGATGCTTAATCTTCCTTTTAATGCATTTATAGCCACCTGTTAATAACCTGTTAATTAAGTGTTAATTGAACAAAGTATTACTTATTAGTGAAATGTTTTTCAGCACTCGAACGGAACAGACCTAAACTCGTCTCATACGCAAAACGTATGATTAACAAAGACTTCAGCGCGACGTATAAGATCAGTTGCTTTGTATAAAACCGGATTATTTAATGCTGAATGAATGACAAGCCAGGCAGTTTGGTATATTTGTATGATATTAAGGAGATTAGAGCCCCTGACAATCTTTTTTTCTTCGTACCATTTGCATGCATAGCGTGGTTGGACAGAGTAAACCAGAGTTTAATTATAGAGGTTAATGAAAATATTCTTTAAGTGGAACATTTTTTGGCATGCGACTAGGTCAAAGAGCGGTAAATTGTATAAAGGAAATGATTTGTTAATGTTATAAAGATTTATAACCGTGGGCTAGTGTCTGCGCATGTGCAACAGAGGGGTTTCAAGGCAGACGACGACATTCATGTTCTATTAGCCATTCCGAGGTTGAGGGAAAGACTGGGTCGAGTTGGCATTGCAGTGCATTGTGGGGCTGTTTTAGGAGACAATGGAAATAGGTTTCCTATAACAGCCCCAAAATGTATTGCATTGCAGTTTCTTTTCCCCTGATGATCCTCGAAATGGCTTATAGCGAATCAAACCTTCAAGTTCTTAGAAAAATTGCTTTCAGTTATTAAAAATAAAAAATAAAAATTCTTAAAATTGAGCACAATTCAAAGAAATCTTACGGAGCCTTGTGAGGGGGTACTCCTTTTGTTCAGGTGGTAGGGGTGATCGGTGCTCCTTTTAGGGTTGAAAATGTTCCCCGTGTGGACCTTTTAGGGGTTCCGGCTCAAAAGTCAATTACGTAACATAACTCCGTACCTTTTGGGGTCATTTATTATGCGCGTTATCCATGCTATGCCGCTGTTTACTTTACAATGATGCAC